TATTTGCAGTATGTTACAAATCGCAATTTCCAGGCTTGCTGAATTAAATGATAGCGTAAATTGTCAACTGGTTGTCAGTCCCCTCAGCGAAGACGTGGTGAAGCAGTTTGACGTTAGTTGTAAAAGTTGCTCAAACTTTAAGCTGTTATAGCTCATCAATGTTGATGTTGCAGCTTGTCATTCTCACCGACGCTCCTCGTAATGTCCAATTGAAAGTTGCTGGTTGGACTCGAGCACATAATCGTTGCTTGTTAGTCGCTGATGCTCGTGGTCTGTACAGTTACATATTCGCAGACTTCGGCAACTCATTCTTTATTGATGATCCAAATGGAGAGAAAGTCAAAGAGGTTCTTCAAAATCATTGAAAACGGCTGCATCCATAAATGTTGCACTTTCAGTTTCTCATTGAGTACATTGACGCAGAAACCGGAGACGTAACAACTTTGGAGAACCAAATGCACGGTTTAGAAGATGGCGACCATGTAACATTTACCGAGATCAAGGGGATGACAGAATTGAATGGTTGCGCTCCACTGAAAATTACTGTAAAGAGTACGTAGTTTGTCTTTGTCGCTTACATGTTCATAGTTTTGTCAGTAGTAGCCCGATCCCAATTGCTTTACTTTTCATTCTTGTTGCTTTTTCTTGTGTGCAGAATTTCTCACTGTAAACCTCTTTTCTCCACTCTGCATTTAGAACCGCATGTGTTCAATATTGGGGATGCTGCTAAGAACTTGACCCCATACGAAGAGGGAGGTCGTGTGAAACAAGTAAAGGTATGTCGCTTCATTTAACAAAAACATTTCAATTCATATGTTACAATTTAGGTGCCTACATATGCCTCGCACAAACCGCTTGCGGAGTCACTTGCCGATCCCGAGTTTGTATACTGGGATTTTGCTAAATTTGACTATCCATCTCAATTGCATGCTCTTTGGAGTGCTCTGTACGAGTTCGAAAACAAGGTATGTGACGTAATACTTTGATATAAGTTACCTGTTTATGATACTTTTGAAAGTTTGGTGGCGATCGCTTTCAAATTGATTTTTTATTGAAGCACGGGCGCCACCCAGAACCTCGTTCTGATGAAGATGTGCTCCTTTTGAAAGCTGAATTACCTGATGGTGTTGAGGTGAACGACAAGTTGTTGAAAATGTTTAGCTATCAGGCAAGATGTTTTGCAAATTATTTTCCTTGCGTTGTTATCACATTTTTTGAAATAGTCGTTCACGTTTTTTCTTTATAGGCTTCCGGAAATCTAGTCACTACTGCGTCTGTAGTAGGTGGAATAGCTGCTCAAGAGGCGATGAAAGCTGTTACTCACCACATGACTCCATTGAAACAATGGCTATATATTGACAGTGATGACGCTTTGCCAGGAGATTGGAGCGAGTTTGACTACGAGAAACTCACTGTAGAAGATTGCAAGCCGGTAATAAACATCACCTCTTATGAACGCATTGTAATTCGCCTTTTAAGCGTGGCTGCCGGTATGATGGACAAGCTGCTGTCTTTGGATGGAAGTATCAGGAGGCACTATTTCACCAGAAGTGGTTTGTAGTAGGCGCAGGTGAGTATTGACGCTTTTAAGGAGGAGGTGCTTGGAGTTTGATTTTCCATTCAGGAGCTATCGGATGTGAATTGTTGAAAAATCTGGCCATGATGGGGGTGGCGTGCGGCGATGGGGGTCTTATAAAAATAACTGATATGGACCAAATTGAAATCAGTAATCTCAACCGGCAGTTCCTTTTCCGTATGCATGATGTTGGGGTAAGAAGTTGAACTTCATGCAATTACGCCATTAAATAAAAGTGTTGTTTTGAGGATAAAAAGTCTGTTGTTGCTGGTCGAGCTGTGAAAAATTTCAACAAAGACGTTCACATAGAAGCTCTTGCCGAACGAGTTGGAACAGATACGGAACATATTTTCAATGATGACTTTTTCGAGAAGCTTGACGGAGTGGCAAATGCTCTGGATAACGTTGATGCTCGTAAGTTTTTCTCAAATGCTAGACAAGAACTGACAATATGACGAAGATATTCAGGGCGTTACATGGATAGACGTTGCGTATTTTATCGTCTTCCACTTCTTGAATCAGGAACAATGGGCACTAAAGGAAACACACAAGTGGTATACCCGCACCTCACAGAGTCCTATGGGTAAACAATCCCCATATTTTTAAATCATTCATTATGGAAATGATTTGGATTTACAGTTCCTCCGTTGATCCACCTGAGAAGGAGATCCCCATTTGCACTTTGAAGAACTTTCCCAATGAAATTCAGCATACTATTCAATGGGCTAGAGATTTATTCGTAGGTGTGTATCTC